GATGAGCATCTGAAGAGATTGCTTGATGACCACAAGTGTGGCAAACGAACGAGTTCGGCATCCTGCAAGTTCAAAGGCACTCAGCGCATCGCCAGGCTTTCTCAAAATGGGGGGGGGGATCATCCGTAATCCTAATCCGCACTGGGACACCACTGCGGCAAGGGAAACTACTGTCTCACGAAACAAATCTTCCGGATTTATTTTATATGAAGGACCCAGCTAGATTCACAAAGCGCGTAAGTTGGACCGTCTTACAAGCCAGCACTGTCCTGCGTCCGCAGCGACTGCAAAGAGCCAGCTGGCTTGCTTCAGGAAAAGCCACCTGTGTCGGGAACACATCCCTCGCCCCAAGCTTCTTGCAGGCCATGCATCCAAATCCCATGGAAGGTGCGCTTGGATTTCCCAGTGAACGCGAACACTGACAATCCAGGGGGCCTTACTTAGAAGGGCCCCTGAAACAATCGCGAAAGCCACCCGAAAGCAACCCATCCGACCCAGCCTGTGATGCGTAGACCTGTGGCCTGCAGTTCGCTGGGGGTGTCTCTTTTCTGAGGGTGCCCTGCTTCAGGGCCTATTTCCCCATAAAACTTCACCTCGCCAGAAGGAAAGGGTCCCTGTTGAGGTATCCTATTGTGAGACAACCCCCCCTACCCATGTTCGGTTCGCAAAATATGGTTGCCAGAATTTGAACAGGTCAGATTTAGTTGGGAGAAATAACACCTGGGCAAATCAGAGAACCTCACAGGGAGGGAGGAGCTGCTCTTGGTTTGTCTTTGTGCCTTACCCAGCCAAGCTTCACTCAGTTCAATGCTCAGAACCAAAGCGAAGGCATCCAGAGGGAATGTCCCTTCGCCCCTTCGCAAACCAGCCTGACTTTGGGTTCTCCAAAGGGTGCTCGTTGGACGCGCCTGGCAACTGACATTTTCGGATTTATTCCGAGGGCGAATGGCGATCAAGACTTTTCCATCAAGGGAAGCATCCCGGAATCCATGATGAATCAAGTACTAGCTGATGAATCCAGAGTAACGTACTAACCAGGATTCACTTGGAGCACTCACTATCTCTCTCAAAATGCCAGCAAGGTCTAGCACAAAACGAGGAGTCAAAACAAACGCATGCAGCTCAGCTCAGTGGTCGGTCCTTTTCATAGCAATGGCTTTTGCTTGGGAGTGGCTCGCTACAAGAAGTGGCTGGGTGTGCGCACCGCGACTGTGACCACGAGGGGAGGACATTACGGGCTCAGTCTCCCCCTGATCTTTTGCCACTGCAAAACAGGACTGAGCCCCATGCGGCGCTGCAGGGCTGGTTTCAAGCCACTTAATTCTTGCGGCAGCAATAGGGTGGGCTTCAGGAGTTGGCTTGGGTTCGTTTAGGGCTAGCTGGAGACAGTGCTTACTGTTGCTGTGTTTGTTTCTTTGCGGGTTTGCGGCTTTGGTGCAACGCATCAAAACCAGGCGCAAACGGTAACAAGCAACCCCCTCCAGTAAGCACTGTCTCCAGCTAGCCCCAAACGAAGCCAACCCCTGGAGCCCACCCTGCCGCTCTTGCGGCAACAAATCGGGGGGAGACTGAGCCCGTGCGGGGGATGTTGACTGCCAACCAACCCAGCCAGCCAGCCAACCAGCCAACCAACCATCCGCCGGAGCCACTCCTAAGCAACCGACACATGCCACTGTGCGGATGCTTTGCTTGGCCACCTGTTTCTGTGATTCCGCCAAGCTTCTGGGCAACAAGCACATGACAGCTGGGCCCACGCATCGACTGAACATGAGGCCAATTGGCGACCAGTCGGCCCAAATCGGCCGACCCAACCGACCCGGCTCGAGCATACGCATCATGCGAGCCCAAGTCCGCTGGGTTTGGGCACGTGTTTGCAGCTTTTAGTGGCTTGCGGCCTCGGCCAAACCCACCCGAAACCAACTCACCAAGCCCAAGGCGTGCCACCCTAAACCTCCCGCAACCAGCCTAACCCCACCCTCAACTCGGAGGCGCCGTCGATATCCTGCTCTGCAAAAGACGTACTTTAGTACCAACTGCGCAAACACGTGTTCGTGTTTCACCCTGCCTATAAACACTTGTATATGTGTATAAGCAAGCGCTAGCAAAGCATAGCGCGGTTTACGCCGCACGAATCCAATACTTGAAGGCTCCGGGAAACGAAATGGACAAGCGCCACAGGCTCAACGGAAAGCTCGAGGTGCACACAATTCAGCAGACCATGCGACGACGTGTAAGGCCCGCAAAAGGTGAGCGCATCGCAAGGCGTCACGGAAGGCATTGCCTCTCTTTCAGCCTTTCAGACCCAGTGGAAAGAAACGGGAGCTGAGCGCGTCGCACACCGGGATGATGGAAGGCAGGGAATGCCAAAGGCTTGAGTTCCAGGTTGTGAGTGGTCTAGCTGTGTTGCTTTGAACCGCTCGGAAGCCCACGGAAGCTGTTGGCACATTCTGTTGACTCGAGATGTTTTAGCCCTGTTTCGGAAGGGCCCGGAAGGTGTGGTGGAAGATTTCCCTTATCCAACCAATTGGAATGACCCTTTTTGTCACTGCCACGGCAGAAAACTGGGATATTGTCTCAAAATGCGTGCGGTATTCAATGCAAGCAAGAATGTGAAATAAATTGATGGCGGTTGATGTGCGCTAAATGCTGGGTTGCCACTGTCGTAGCCGGCTGAAGGCTGAAGCAGCCCGTGTTGGTCCCGTCCTCTCTTACGCACATGAGTTTTGTTTCGGCAACACATTGGGCCAATGGAGGCAAATCACGGACTGGGAAGCATGGAGAATCTTCAGTGGTGCGTTTCTGGGCAAGTACTCAGACGACGGTGAAGGTGGGCAAGTGTCAAAGCTTTTCGCTTGCCGTATCCTTGTAAGTCAGATCAGCAAAATGCACCGCCTCTGACAAGCGGCTGACTTCAGGCTGAGAGGCAGCACATTCGTAGGTGAGTAGCTATTCCTGGGGTATTGAGGCAGCGTTGGAAGGCCGACTTATGGCCAGCGGACCTGTCGCTGTGCGAACTGGAAGGAACAGATGGCACCAGCCAGACGAAGCGCTGGGCTGCGCAGACTCGTGGATTGAGCCGATTTGGATGTTGCGTGCGGATCCTTTTTGCGCGTGATGGTGGTTTAATCCTTAACCCGGTCGTTGAACCTCATTGGAGGGCTCACAGGTATTGATTGGTGATCGCCCATTGCATATTTGCTCAGCTTAAGGTCCCAAAGTAAGAGAATCCAAAAACAAGTTCTTGTGGATCTGATGTTCTTTTTGTGGTTTCCCTGGATTCCCTCTTTGTACCATGGATTTGGTTTCTGTTAAAACACATCGCCCCCTCCGATTTTGCGCACTTCACCAACGCTCCGGCCTTTCAGAGCCTTGCGCTCCCATATTCATCTCAGGCCTGCATGGCGATCTTGAAGCTCCAAACCCATGCAAACAAATGGCAGTGTCTTTTTTTTGGGAGCCCGTTCTGGGAGTTGTTGGAAAGGGAAGGCAGCAGCTTCATGTTCTGTAAAATGTTAATTAATTGTGCCCGTTGCCAGCATGTCAATTGCTTCTAAGGCAAACTCAAAGCAAACAAATGGTGGGAAGGCGCATAGCAGTCTGTTTTCACTTTTTTCTTTTCCTTTCTTTTGGGGAGGGGGGTGCCAGCAGAAGTCACTCGTCCATTTTGATTGGGTACTCAAGGGTCAATGTCCAATCATGGTAAAATATACTAACACACATCAATCTATTTGAGTCTCCGAAAAATCCCCAATGGAATTATTGATTCAGGAGTACATCACCTGTGTGCTCGACCCGGCTTATCAAGTGCGTCAACTGGACCGCCCCATGTCTCATTTTGGACACTTGGTCTTGTTCAAAGTATGAATGAATGGATGAATGAAGGAAGGAATGAATGAATGGATGGAAGGAAGGAAGAAAGGGGAAGGGAGGGAGGAAAGGAAAGAAGGAAGGAAAGAAGGAAGGGCGGAAGGTGAATGTATGAACGCACTAAAAATGCAAGTGCATGTGTATTGTTGTTGTGCGAAGCAAGCACGCAGCACATTTGGTGCGAAATCCAAACCGGATTTTTTGAGCGTGTTCTGCACTTCCCTTGGGCAAAATGTCGAGATAGCGCGGAGGCCCTTGAGCAAGCAAAAGTGTGTCTACCACCGCGTGCCCGGCAAGTCATTTCTCGCCCGGCCTCAAGAGGCCCAAACCGCGAGCATCGATCCGTTTGGAATCCGGGGAAGCGTCCTGGCCAGTTTCCGGCATGGAGCAAAGCGAAAACCGAGCCACGCGGATCGGCAGAGTCCTCTACCTGCCGAAGCTGAGCCAATAAATACTTTGGTAGAGGACGGAGGAACGTCGGGCAACCGAAGGTGTCACGACCTTTGTCCTTCCGACTGGCCTCAGAAGCCACAAGAGGCATCTGCTTCGAAGCTGAGAGCTGCTCAAGTGCCTTGACGTCAAGGTAGTGCTCAGCATTTGCTTCGAAGCCTTGTATTTCTGCAGCAGCCACCTTCCATTCAATTTACTCAAGCTACATGGATTCCACAAATCAATGTGACAAATGAGTTCGTCTTGTTTTAGGTGCTTCACTTCGAGACTTGTTCACCCTTCAACAAACTTTCGCACCTCTAGCGCCATCTCTGACTCGTAGCTCTTGAGAAACTTCCTGTGGAATGTTCCTCGAATCCATCGACCAAACTCTCTTCAAACTCACAAACCCACCGACCCATCCCAGCCTGCCGCCTCCGTTGGTACATTGTTAAATTGTGCTACGAGGAGGATTTCTGCTCGTGACAACTGTTCTAAAATAAACGTGCGATACAACCAAAATCGCTCGAGGCGTCCGCATGCCGGTGAGGAGCCCATTCCCCGTAACATTTTGTGATGTTGCGTTCGTTTGCACTTTGTGTCCCGCCGATGTGCGCGTTTTGCACATTTGTTTGCGCTCACTTTGTTGAGCGACTCTTCCCAAACTCGCTTCTTGGAAAGAAGATGAAACTGCCGAACTTGACTCCTGCTCGAAGCCCAAAAGACGCTCGAGAGCAACTAAGAACAACAAACGCTACAACAAATCAGTTTGAGAGCATGTATATGTATTGTTACGATGGAGGCTTTCAAAGGGAAAACAACAGGAAATCGCCAATTTTGGGGTTGAGGTGTTTTGTTTTAACCAGCCCCGGCATTGTACTAGCCCCGGCTCAGCACACCAAAGAGGTTCACTCAGGTTGATGGGGGCCTAGTTGGCCAGGTTGGCTGACCTCCCCAGCACCGGCCTCGCTCGGACTAGGGCTGCCTATTTGCTTTGATTGGGCAGTTCAGAGTTGCTGGTTGCGGGTGAGTGTTGGGCTTGCTGAGGTCTTATGTAACAAGGGCGGATCTTGGATTTGTTGGGTTGATGTTCAGTCGATTCCATTCTGAAACCAGAAACTTAAACTCAAACTGAAACCCTCCCAACAGCATTCTGGATATCAGCCCTTTGCCAAGCCTACATGCCAAACAAATCCAAGACCCGCCCTCGTTACATAAGACCTCAGCAAGCCCAACACTCAGCCGAAACCAGCCAGACCTAGTCCGAGCGAGGCCAGTGATGCTGGGGATGCGGCCGGTTGAGCCCGAGCAACTCTGGCCAATACGCCGCCCTGACATGGGGATGTTGGGGATGCGACCGCCTAGCCGACTGACCAACCGACCGACCGACCGACCGACCGACCCACCAAGCAACCCCTGGCCGGGGCTAAGCCCCGAGCAGGGGCTAGCAAAAAACACACCGCGGTTCATTATATATATATATATAATTTTTTTGGGGGGGTAAAGAAAAGCCGCATCCATTTAGTATCTGGGAGTGTGGGGTTCAGCTAAAGGGAGCCGAGTCTCCGAATTGCACGCCGAGTGAAAGGGAAAAAGGAACCACCCACGACGGGGTGCTAAATTCTCAGAAGCCTCCAAACCAGAACCTGAGGCAAGCCCTATCTGGTCTTCTAATCTTCCCCTGACGAGCAGAAGGATCCCTGACTACATCATGTTGAGGGATAAAAGGGTGGCCTCTGAGGAGGCTCTATGTTAATTCGGAGAAACCGCCAATGGACCCGCTCGCTCCGTGCGGCCAAGGCGCTGTAGAATTGTTGAGCAACCTCTGGGCTCTGGAAGTTGCAAAACGCAAACCCACGGCTACAGCGACTTCGCGGATCCATGGGCAAGTAGATAAAATCCTGCAGGAACGTGTCAAAACCGTGTGACACAACGCGGTTTTAGCAGATTCAAGACAAGTCGTAGGTCCATCTTGCCCTGGAAGCCAGCACTCAGAAACTCCCGAAGGAGCTTTCTTTGCGTGTACTTGATTGGGACGTACTTCACCATCACCTCAGCCAATCTGGATGGATCAACGACTCGACCAAGAAGCCCAGTCAGTTGCCTCGAGCTTTACTGACCAGGCTCTCCAAACAATTTGTCGCCTGGGTCAATGAACGAGCTTCAGCTTCAGACGCGCATGTTACATGAGGATTGCGTGCAAACCATTTTGACAGTTCGTTGAACATCCTTGCCATTTGGAGGGTGCCAAAGGCGCTGTCTTAATCTCTCTGTTCGAAGAGCCAAGGAACAGTTGTACGTCCGGCAAGTGGGGAAGGAGCGTCCTGGCGAGCTTGTTGACATGGCCAGGATCCCAATACCGGTTCGAGGACCCCCCAAAATGTTTGGCTTGCTTTGGGTTTCCCCCTTATACGCAGCTTGCATGGGGGCCCCAATCTTGGCTAAAGTATGACACATTCGCATGCACTCCTGCGAAAGAACTGCAGTCCCAGCATCGCTCTCGGTTGCCTGCAAACGCAAAGGGACAGAATCACTGAGTCAATGAGTCGTTTCAGCCTCGCACAGCTTGCCAGTGATGTTGCTAGTTGTCCCAGCACTCGTTGTGTGAGAGCCACAACTAGTGGATCGTCCAAACCTAACAAATGCAAAATGCCCATGGTGAAGCTAGCGCACGAAGCCGACAAGCAAATCATGAGCCACATTTTCGTGGGTGTGTGCGTGTGCGCGCGCGCTTCCATCTGGTGATTGTTTGCACATCTCGCAGACTGATAAGATCTGGCGAATGTTCTCAGACCAAACCGAGCAGCTTCAGCAATGCCGAAGCAAGAGTGCTCGAAAATTGGCCATTACCGCCCGCCCCAATAGTATCCTGAAGCGGAGCAAGCGTGGCATTTGCTCAGACATGCCGCGACACCTCTGCATGATGGACAAACAACGATGTGCTGCTGATCCAACGTGTCAAGCGCAAGCACGCTTGAAGCCGAGCTGCCTCATCTGTGGAGGCAAAGCCCGCGAAACTGCCTCCACGGCTTGAGGCTTTGCAGCAACGCTTTTGCATCTCGTTTGGGGCGTAACATTGGTGTTTTTTTTGGAGGGATCCCCCAAAATGGTGGCTTTCCTTTTGGTTTCCCGTGACAAGCCACAAACATGGGCTACCCTCCAAAAAGACGAGCCAGCCACCTCCGGCCTTCTAGGGGTTCGGTGCTGGAATTCATGGCTAAGAGCCAGCAGCTGCGTCACTATTCGACTGGCGACTGCCACGGCTCGAAGCTCAAGCCGTTGGTGAAGACCAGCAGCCACTTCCTTGGCTGAGAAAGTGACTTCTCCTTCAGAGTGTGAACGGCACTGGAACAATTGGTGAAGATTCGAAGATTCAGCCGTCAACTCTTAGCTTTTCTGGAGGACCCCTGCCATGAGAGAAGTTCTGCTTCATCAGTCGTCTTGATTCACGCGGGCACATCTATTTGCAAGCCAATCGGCAGCCGTTGGCTTCGTGCAAGAAGGCAAGAGGCCCTGCCTTGAGCCAAATCATTCCGGTGTTCAGCTGAAATCTGCGAGTGCAAAGCCTCCAGGGTTGACTCTGAGGGCTCCGATTTATGATCAGGATACCGACGGCCGAAGGGGATTCCGGCCCTTGAAAGTGTCTGGGGCGAGTGATGCTGCTTGTTTTTTGCCACCATCTTGTCGATTCATGAAAAGACAACCCCTTCAAACTACTCTGCCATTGCCACATACTCATCTGCATGATCCAACCAAATCTCAGACAGATCTAATTTTCGGCAGCCCCCTGCGGTCGGCACATTCTCCGCGACGCGCAGTCGCCTCCAACTCCTGGAGAGAGGCCTCTCCAAGCACGAGCGCGCGCAGGGGGGTGCGACCCACCAGGCCTTCCGAAGCAAGCAATCAACCTTCGGTGAGTTCCAAGTGGGTGATAACAGCAGTGGCAGGTTGGTAGGGGTTTGGGAAGCACACCCTAGACGTATGCCGACGGGGAAATTCATTCGTGGGGGCCGGCTCTTCGACCCACGGTGCCTCATTCCCTCTCAAGTGCCTGCCTCCTCTGCTGCAGCACGCACCTGACCAGCCGAAGACGTTGAACACTTTCAGGGGAGAGAGGGAGGGGTGTGCTGGCACCGCATTCAGATCAGTGATGGAGGAATCTGAGAAAAATAAAGGAAGTTGGAGGCAAATCTCTCAGCCCCTCCTGAGCTCGCCGTTGCTCCAAGGCCTCAAGGCATTGAGAATGCCACCAGCTGAAGTGACTGGCTTGGACTTTCAATAAACATAGCGCATGTTTATGTCTGGGGAACTCAACGGACCCCAAGCAACATAGACTTCCAGTTGGTCCAAGATTCCCACGAGACTTCCCACACACATTTCTATAATAGGTGTTGGCAAAATAACCAGATCTAAACCAGTGGAACCTCCTTGGCCTTTCCTCGAACCAACATGTAAGCCAGGGGCAAACTCGCTGCGCTTCAAGGCAGCACTCCTGGCGACACCGCTCCCTTGAACGAGCGCAAGGGCATGAATTGGGGGCCCGAAAGAGTGGACATCCAATTTAGGTGAGGGATTCATGTCCACCAAGCATCTGTGCTCGGTGGCGTCCAAAATAATGCGTAAAACACACGTTGAGATCCTCTAAGCCGCCCATTTTGAGTGCTCCCCATGAGACGGCACAGCAACCCGACAACCCGACAAGCCAAGCTGAATTCACTCCTGGACGCCAGCTCAGATGCTTGCTCTGCCAGCTGGCTTTTGGCCTCACGGACTTCTCCCTTATGTCACTCCCAAGAAATTCGTTCCTTCCCAGCCCCGTGTCCATCAGCTTCATGCAGTCAGGAGCCAAAAGACGCAAAACCTGAGATGTCCGGCCTCCTCCATCTCCTTCTGATGTCCAGGATCTGGATCAGACCTCAATGTGCTGCTCTTGAGGCACTCGCAAAGGAGGGGGTACCAAACAAATGCGAAGCTGCCCGTAAGTCGATTCTGCTGGCCCCGAAATGGGTTCCAATGAATGGTTTTTGTTTTTTAAGATCCTACGCGCATCGCATGGCCGGAGCCCGAAGGCCCGAAGGCCCGAAGGCCCGAAGGCCCGAAGGCCCGAAGGCCCGAAGGTTGCTGAGATCCGGACTTCCCCTCCTCCAAGTGGCTCAGCTCGCTGCGAAGGTGCTGCACCTGCCCCGACCCAAAGGCACCTCTTTTGCGCCGCAAAGCATCCGTCAAACGAAACCGGAAAGCTGCAACCAGAGAGTCGCAGCAAAGTTGTCTGATCTTCTCTGGCTGTCCTCTACCCTTCGCCCGGAGAAAAAGAAGAAAGGAGCAAAAACAAGAGAAAAAACGTGGGGCACTCCAGGCCTCCCGTTGCAAAGCCCGCAGCGGCCCATGATCCACAGCTCGGGGCTGCCTCTGCTGAGCCTTGCCGCCGCTGTCTCTGACCCTGCCACAACCTCCCGGTTCCTTTCTTCCAGGGGACCTTCTGATTGATAACTGGGGGAGGGGTTACAAATCAGGGGTCACATTAAACACCATCTTCTGGGCAATTCTTTCTAAAGATGGTTTGTGGCAATGACTTACTGTCAAAGGATCGAACCTGTACGCATGCTTCCGATCAGCCAATCCGTGCCATTGATCCAGCCTGTACGGCTTGCAACTCCTCCTTGAGCCTCACAGGCCCGACCCCAAGAGGCCTGCTAAACCTGGAGTTCCGGGTTTGAACCAGGTGCTTGAATCAAACAAACAAGACCTGCAACAAGTAGATCTTCTTCCTTGCGTCGCGTTGTTTGGGGTGTTGCGAGTTCTGCGCAAAGATCTGGACCTCCAAACGAGTCCCCTGCGCAAACCACCCCTTTGAGATTTTTGTTCGCCCTAGCCACGCTTGAGATTCGACGCCAGCAAAGGGCGAGTTAAGTGCATAATCCAGTCTAAGAACAAAATCAGCACAGCTCTGGGTGTCCTTAGCACTCGCCAAAAGTGATGGCCACCATTGCTGAGACGGAACATGTGGATGCGAGAGTCACCCAAACCAACAAGCGCCCCAATCATCGCATGTATCAAGATTCCAGTTTGTACGTATGTACAAACACAAGCATACCATATATCTGAAAAGATCTGTCTACAAGAGTATCATGTGGATGGGCACTGCAATATTTCGTCTCAAATTGTAGACCCTCGCAGGCAGGAGTATCGTGACCTGAATCCTTGCCTGACGTACTTGATTGGAAGGTGGCTCGTCGTTCTGTTGACAGGTCTCCGAATATCTCCGAATGTTGGAAGTCATGTTGGCATCATTGGAATGGGAGCCAACCCTTTGCTACATGGAATTATTGAACACCTCTGAGCTTCGGGGCGCCGGCAGGTCTCACTGGACCCGACAAAACCCACGGAAAAAGGTCGCTTCCCTGGCAAATTTGAAGGCAGAGGTATCTTCCTTGAACGACAAGACACAGACATACGCACTGCGCACGGACTGAAAACCTATGGTCAAAACAAAGCAGCATGATCAACAAATGCTGGTAAGCCACTCATTTTGAAGGGTTTTCGTAAATTCGGTTGGACCAACAAACCGTACACCGGTGTTTCAAAGGATTCTCCTGTCCCCTTCCATCATTGGCACATAGGTAAGCCGGAAAACCCCGCGGCTCCATTTTGTTGGATTCCTGCAAGGACTTGAACTCAGGCGATCCCCAAAGCAAAGTGAAATCCTCTAAATAGTTCAGGAGCACCCTTTGCACCCAAAAGCAACTTTGGGAATGCCGAGAACCATGATTTCTTTTTGCGAAAGTAGCCTTTTTGGACGATGTTTCAAAGGGAACCCAGGAAACAGAAACCAATGTGAGTGGTGGTTTTCTTGGGGGAGCCCAAGGAAAACCCAGCGATTTTGGGGCGGGTTCCATTTCCACGGGTCCGGGTGCCGTGTACCGGATGTGGGTTCTGCGCTTCGGGGCGCCGGCCACTTGGCGCGGTGCCGCGCCGCGTCCCGCGCCGCGCCGGCGCTGGAGAGCTCCTAAGGCGCGGAGCGGTGGGAACAGGAGGCCCGGGGGGGGGGGGTGGAGGGGTAGTGGTTGGAAACCCCATAGATACCTGTCCGGTGGATCCTAAGTTAATTCCCGCAAAATGTAGGTTGAAACATCGTTGCTTTAGTTTTCAAAGGGTAGTTCCCTTGGCCACGCAAATGTGAATGGGTCAAGCCACCCAAACAAAAAAAAACCAGTGACACCAGGCACAGCCCCAAAGTCACCCAGGGTCCACCGCGGCGTCGCCGCCCCGGCCGCCCTTGGCCGCGGCCACCGCGGCCGCGGCGGAGGAGGCGGCGGAGCCCGCCAAGAGCCCCGCCTGAAAAAAAAAAAAACAAGAAGCCGACCCGGGGACCAGGTTCATTCTTAGGGGACCAGGGGACCCGGGGACCAGGTTGATTCTAGGGGTACAGTAGCTTCCATTTCCATGCTTTCCAGGATCTTTCCAGAAAACCACCCAAAACGCGGGGGAAACAGCTGGTGATTGAAAAGAACGATGGTTGAAAATAATGGGGAATCAACCCCTAGAGGTATATGGCAATCCAGTTTGGGTGCCTGTTATTGACCCAAAACCAAATGGAAGGACAAGACGATCCCAAACAAAATATCGCAAAATATCCAACATGAAAGCCAGTCCAAATTCTTTATTCGGGTTTCTCTCTTCCTATTCTCTTAGTTCATTCGCGGGGGATTTCTGGAGTTCCTGTCACTATGAAAGACTCACGATGGAACGGTCCAAATGACAGCCTCTGGGCCTTTTCGGCCTTAGTCCAGCAACGAAATCTGGCCATATTTTAGCATTGTCAAAGTCTCCCCTTAAATGATTGGTGAAAGGGAACCCCCCCCCCCTCCCTCCAGTTGCGGTCTTTGATCACCCCAAGAAACAGCCACAATTCTGACGACAGTACTTCAAACAAAGCCGCGGAAGCTGTTCCGGATCTCCGGCCTCCAGCGCTGCTCGCTCCCTTGCTGCCTCGAGCTCCAGTTGGGTGTCCTGTCCCCGGTCGGACTTTGCAACTTTCCCGGGCTTCTTTCCTCGCTAGTTCTCAGGGAATCGACACGGTGGAACCTAGGCCAGGAAACTTGAGGGATAAAATTTATCGGGGTTCCCTCATTCCGGATGAGAACCAGCAAGCTCTCAAGCTAAGGTTTCCAGTTCGCCTCCTGGCTTTCCTTGGGTTTCCTCTTGGGTGTCCTTGGGTTTCCTTGCATGTTTCCTAGCTCCCCAAAGGAATCTCAAGTAAGGGCAAGACAGGCGACGCTTAAAAATAACTAAAGGGACATGTGGTTCCCTTGTCTGATGATACAACTGTGAGTCCCCACTTTTGAACCTAGCCCGGGGTCGTTCGTATTGCACATCCAAGCGTAACTACTTCAGGGATTACCCTGGCCACTCGCAAGTGGCAACCTAAACCCTGCTTGTCACGGATCACGCATCTTTCAGAACCCCCTCCGTTTCGGTTGGGTGTTTTCGCAATCGAACTCACCTGAGACCTGGAAATCCAAGGACGTTGACCAAACAAATCTTGACCCCTTGTGGGGACACAGGTTTTTCAGGTTGGGAGCAGGCTCTAGTGGGTGAGCAAGGAATTCCCTGCCTGGATGGCATTGGACATGAGCCTCCTCTTCTCAGCGGAGGCCTCCGTAAGTGTTTCGTGTCGACAAAGATTGTGACATTGGACCTTGGGTTGGACGGGTTGGGCTTTACCGTCGCATGGGTTTCGAAAACCCGAAAGGCGCCCCTCAGGTTTGGGATGAAAGCCTTCTTGTGGCCTTTGCTGCAAAGCGAGCGCACAAGCAAGTGAGGCAAGCACAGGGGCATGCCTCAAGGCGTTCGGTCATTCCAATAGGAGTCAATATATACTGGGGCTCCAAATGGTCTTCTTCCCTGAAGAGACGGGTTATTGACATCCAACAGGAGAAGTTTCTCATCTCATTTTCAGGCAGAGCGGAAAGCCTGGCATTGTTGAATTCGGCTGATGAAAGAGGGATTGCCCGCAAAACCTGCTCCACATGTTGCAGTTCTCTGGGTGCCTTTGGTAAATTGTAACGTCCCACTAAAAGCGATCGACACGTCAGGCCCCCGAAAAAACTCCGCGTAAAAGAGTCCTCAAAGAGCAACTATAGCAAGTGGTCTGGAACCCTGGAGCACCGACTCAACGAGACCGTTCCTCGATTCCTCGCCTGCTCACAGCTTTGGATGGCCGTGTCCAGCTCTTGGCGCTGGTCCACCGCCTTCTTCAGCGCCTGTTCGATCCGGTGGCGAGGCCAAAGCATTTGGGAAGGTCCAGGTGGTGTGTGGCATTAAAAATAAGCTCAGGTGATATTCCCAGAGTCACCCCCAAACCTTATCTGGGCTGAGACTTTTAGCTTTCAGCTACTGGGGAAATCCCTCATGACTTGGCACAGGAGTTCCTGCGAGCGGCCGTTCCAAAAAAGGACAAGTCCCTCGCGAACAACCCCATCCTAGTATGTTTGTTTCAGGCCCGTTTGGAAACCAATTTGGGGAGGGGGCCACAGGAAACCATGGAGAAGCTGGTCCGCTGCGCCCCCTTCAAAAGGCTGCTGGTTGGTACACCCTTGACGCTTCCTTCAGTGCCTGGTGCTTGAGTAAAGGTCGGATAGCACCACTACATTTGTTACTCATTCTAGACCTGTCATACATGTTGGGATTTCGCCCCCTGGGATTAGTCGCTTGAATCCTGCACTCAAGGCAGGCCAGGCCCAATGGCCAGTTTATCGCCGTTTTATCAAGACAAAATGTGACGCGCAGTGTCCAGGTGCATTCGCTGGGTTCTCAAGCCATGCCGAGCGTGCACAAAACAACTTTTTCACACGGGCTGCACCCAGAAAAACAACGGCACTCATGACTTGGTCATGGTCCCAGCACATAATTATTGCCTCACAAGAAGCGCTCAATCAATTCAGCGGTGATGTTGACCCAGGAATAATCAGCCTGGCGGATTAATTGGGTGCGCTTTCCCAGCACTGCTGGATACCCTGCAACACGAGACACCGCCCATTAATCGACCAAAGGCTGATTAATCCTGGTTCATGGTGTCTGTCTGGAACAAACCACCCGGGAAGCCGCTCGTTCCCAGCGCTTCCATCTGACCTTCCCGCGGGGGAAGCCTCGTGGGCACTGGAGGGCCCTGGGCCGAAGGCTTTCGCGCTTTCAGCGGCGAAGCTCGTTGGCAAAGACGACTGCGCAGCCAGCAAGTCGGATTTTAGAGCCCTGCTGGAATTGCGGCGAGCCCAAAACCTTGGCAAACCAAGAACGTGGTAACAAGTTCATTGAGTTCACCAAACAGATGAACCTTTGAAGGCGTTAGGCCTTTGAATATGCTACGCTCCATCGCCACATCAGTGGAGTCCCTGCGGGTGAGGACACTTTGGTACACTTTGGAGCTTGACAGCCGGCCCCTCTGCCTCAGTCCACGTCCTCAGTTGGCTCTCCCATGAACCAACTTACATGAGGCACTTTCACCAAGCTGCGAGGTCTGCGGGAGGCTCATCCATGAGGGCTGCCACCCCCGCGTCATTCAGCTGCATCTCACCCTTTCGGTTGTAATTGAACCTCAAAATTCCCCGGACCCGCTTCGCCATAACACGTCTGAAAGTGACGGGATTCACAGGAAGTCAACACCGGGTCAACCCAGTTCTGCATGCAAAGAAGGCAGGAAGCGACTGAGGCCTGCACAGGCGCGGATGCTGCCCTAAGATAGAGCATAAAACACTCTCATACCCTAAGGCTCATGACCCCAGCCGTTTGGAATGCGAGTCTTCGGAAATCGCACAAGTTGGCTGGCAGGCTCAACTTGATTTCCCGAGCGGCCGTAGACCTTGGAGTACGGCGTGATGCAGTGCACCGTGTTCATGGGAGTCGGGCAGAAGTCGACGTGGGACTTTGGAGGGCCTCAGCCAAAAAGACGCAGAAACCCTTGGGATTGTCTGGACAGAAAACCAATAGAAAATCCGTAAGCCCCAGAGGGTCTCGAAACTGAGAACACCAAACACGGCTGGCTTCCCTTTGATTTCCTTTCAAGGAGGGTGCCAACTCAACAACGGCACACCCAAATTCCACTTTGCGGCAACACTCCCCGGCTGGATTTGGGCGCCCAAGCGCTCTCCCCAGAACCCGGATCTTGAAACTTCAATTGCCTACACCCGGAGCTCTCGAAGCTTCAAACTCAGCTTCCAGCCCTCGGCGTCGGGGGCTTCCTTCGCCTCGTTCTCAGGCTCTGGACCTTGGCTTCAGGAACCACCCACTGCTCTGAGTGCCAAAGGAGCCAGCATTGAACCCCGGAATTTCATCGTTTTCGTCATCATCTTAGAGGGACGAAGATGAAGGGCGACAACGCAAAAATGGGCCCAGTGATGCGCCTCGCGCATCCAAAGTGAAGGACACTAGCATTGTGCCTGGCAGTTTCTGGGTGTCAAAAGTTAAGCACAGCGTACAGCAAGCATTCTAGCTCCCGAATGGATCTCCACCTCCTGCCACCATGCGTGACCGTCACACGTGCAAGTGGACATTCTGACCGAACCTGTTGTGCCGTCCCAGGAACCAAGAGTGGCACGCGTGCCCCGTGGGCCGATTGGAGCCCATGATAGACCATTAGAGCAAGGGGGGAACCCCCGCTTTCAAGGCGGCACAAGGTGATGCCTTTCACGCGGGCTCCAAACAGGCGACCAGATTGTCAAACTGAAGGCCCGTGTTGTAGATCGCCTCCTCAGCTTGCCAGCCTTCAGTCAAGGGCTTACCCTTAAGCCGGGGAAACTTCTAGAAAGCCCCATGTCCGGCCGCATTGAGTGACAGTCAATATTACTTCTGTCCCCAATGCGACATTGTGGTGGTTCCAACCTCCATTTCCTAGGCAATTTGGTGTAGCCAATCAATCCATTCCCTCGACAAGACGAATATCGACTGCTCACAGCTTGGGACCCAAGCTCTCAGAGGAGGTCTTGGGCAGGCTGGGCAGGTATCCCGGCTTCTCCTTCTTGACCGCCGGGGTCTTGGGCAAGCAGCCCGCATTGTAGAAGGCCACGGCATCTGACGGAAACGAATCGCACAGAAACTGGGGGAATCTGTGAAGATCAAGGAGAACCTTTGCCATTCATGACGGTGGGAGTCACCGGCCGATTTTTTGCTTCTCTCTCTCTCTCTCTAGTTCTGTCTCTCGCTATCTATCTCTCCCTCTCTCTCTCTTTCTCTCTCTTTCTATCTCTCTTGCTCTCCTCGACGCCTGGGAGCATCTGAAAATGACGTCGCACTCCGCTCTCGCGCCCGATAAACATGGCGGCGTTTGGGGCAAGTCTCATTCCCAAAACGCCCCCACCATCAAGGAAAGCACTCCCGTCTTAAATTCACCTTTCTTGCAGCGATGAAGCCAGGAAAATCACAGAAATCGTGAAACTGAGACCTCAGTTCAGAGTGCTTCCTTTTTCAGAGTGGCAACGCAGCGACGCCCGAATGCGCTTCACGCGCACGTCCTTCGGGTCGGCAGCATCTGACGAATTATCCACTTGCCAATGAGATGCGCATAGGCGTCCGTAGCTTAGCTTGGGTAGAAATAGATGGGTTCCACTGTTTTAGACTAGTTTTATTCCACTTACAAGGCAAATCCACCTATTTTTCCAAAAGGGTCACCTATGCGAACAGCTTGTCGTGCCTGCCGTCGTGCCCATGATGTACATGTCGTCCCGAGCCCTGAGGCCTTGGTTGAGGCTGAACTTTTGCCTCTGATCACGTCCGAAACTCGAAGCCCACCCAACAAAATGGATTGCGGGGAACCACCCCTGTGATGAGGGGTCTTCCGGATTTATCAAAGCTGACACCGAACAAACTGGAAGCACATGTGCAAACAGCAAGCGTATGAGTTGGCTGGTTCAGTGCGCTTCACCCAACTCCACATACCAATTGGAAGAAACGCGACATTTGAACTGCAGCCGTCTGGGACGTGAATCTGAGAAAACGACCGGCATATTCAGGTCAGCCAAGCAGCAAGCAATGATTGAAGGTTCTCACTGTCACAGGTGCTGCAATATCAGCTATGGGCACTTTTGAATATATATATATATATATGTTCAGTATGCTAACCAAACCCACTGGCTCATTGTTGCAAAACCAGGGATAGCGGATGTTTGCATGTTGCAACAAGCCTCAGAGAGCCACGCCAATTGTATCTTCCTGCTGTAGGTGGCAAGGGTGGACTGCCAGTCCTCTTCAACTTCTAAGCAAATCGACGTGAAGTCATGATCGACCCAGAACGGCGAGGGTTCTAGCTGGGTTGCCAAACATACGGACGCTTATTGGGCCCAAGGGGTCATGGTTCTGTCACCCCGAGGGCAAACATGCAGGCGTGCTAGAACACATGTCCTTATGACACATAGGATTGTCTTACACTTGTTGGGATGGGTCTACTGGGGCGCCGGTCTCACTTAGCAAGTCAGTAGATCTGGCAAACAGTTCAACTAAAGTGGGGCTAGAACAGCCCCCCGGGGCGGGGGGGTGGATCACCTATGCCAGGTGGCTGGACCCGCCTTTGGGCACTCTGCAGGGCAGTGGCGTCAGTCGACCCCCCAGCCTGTGTCAAATGACCCACGCTGTGCCGAAAGAAGTGGGCCAGACAAGAAAGACAGGGAGGGAGTCATCAACCCCTAAAAGGACACACCCTTCATTGTGTCCCATGGGGAATTCGGTGAAGCTCTTGCTGAAGTGGGGGTTTCCTCTGCAGACGGCAACTATTGGCAGTTGCCTTTCATGGCGGAGCCCGATGCATCCAAAATGATGTTGTCGTCCCGTGTGGAACATCACACTGAAGGCCACCACTGCATGGCCACCGAAAAAGCAATGCGGATTCCACGGGCAAAAGCCCCTGCACGCTCGCGAGCACTTCCTCAGGAAAGCCCCCCGCACGCTTAAAAAAGTATTCCAAACAAACAGCAGAGAACCCAACCCAACAATGGCAACAAAGGAACAAATCAATTGTCATTGTTGGACGGGGTCAGCGTCGATTTGTCACTATTCTTGCCAACGCCCTCGAGGATCTCAGAAACACCGCTAATCTCTTGATGATTTCTGAACATGTATTTAGCTTTGCAGCATTGCAGTCAATATTTGTTGGTGCACTGCAATCAGGGCCAACAAAAAGCATCTCTCCACCAATTTGACTACAGCAGCACATCAGTTGCTGTTGGAGCACCGACGCAACAAAAAACACAACCATTGGTCAAGAGGTGCCCACCGGGGTTTGGACCATAAGTGCATACGGCTTGAAGTTTTGGACCATCCCTGAGCAAACAACATGTACTACTCATTCAATTCGGGCTTCGTTGGATGCTTTGGTCACTGCCCAGTGCAAATCATTCTTGCGCTCACATCCAACTGTCCTTTCGTCGGATTCCCTTTGAACTCCAACAAAACGGGACCCCATGTGGGGAGGAATCAGGGAGATAGAGTATTCAAGGGAGTCAGAGGGGAAGCACTCGAAGCTAAAACATGGTTTAAAGGAGTCATCCTTTAAGGGAGTCAAAGGGGACCCCAAGAAACAAACGGAAGCTGTTGAGGGGACCCTAAGCACTGCCAGTGGCGTCCCCTTAGAGTCCCCTTCGGGTCAATTGCGAGTGCCAGATTCGACCCCCACCTCCCAGAGCTGGAGGCTCGTCGCATCTTCCGCAGCGAGCCGCTGGGGCTGAGCCTCGGGTTTTTGTTGAGCGCTCGCGACCGGCGCTTCCTTTGCTCGAAGCAAATGAAACGAGAACGGAGAACATCGACAAAGATGGGTGCGAGCTTTTTTGGAGGGTGCCCTTTTTTAGGTTGGCTTTGAGGGAAACCTATGAAAACCGCTTGTTCTTCTTTTTTTTTGGGGGGGTCCCCCACAAAAGGACACGCCCATATTAGTATTCCTGAGAACAACCAATCAATCAACCGTTCAGGACATGCTTGGTTCTGCCGCCTAGCCCCAAACCATGTTTCTGGTCGGAGAAGGAAAGGGTCGATTGACCCTTCCAAAAGCATCCCGTCATATTCCATGCGGCTGCCGGAAGAACATTTGAAGACAAAGCGAGGAATGATGCCATTCTGCATATCTCCCAGATCTGTCCAGCTACCTGTGAACATGCCAGCCCATGGTGAGGCACTTGCGTAAGAAGGCCAAAACAGTAGGAGGGTATGGCGCGCCAAAGTGGCGCACCCTCAAATCGATGGCGGACCCTTTCAAGCAACCCACTGCAGTCGAGTGGCTGATGAACTGCCTGCTGAGGCTCCTCCTTGCCATCAGCAGTCCTTGGCTAGCATGCTTGACTTTTGGGTACCTGTGATGCAAGACGTCTTCCATCAATGTAAGGTCGGGGAATACATGCAGCGCTCGACATTTCGGGTCCTGAGATCTTTCCTACTGTCACTTACAAGAAGATTAGGTTCAAACAAATCTACACAATCAGCCTCAGCCTCAGCATTGATTCGCTGGTTCCCCATGTCCCCATGACCAAGACAAAGATTTTGCCGAAGCGACAGCCCATCGAATGTGATGAGCGTTCTCGTCGGCGAACTGGTTATGTCTTCATTCAGAAGCAAAGGCTTGGGCCGCACTCGCCTCAGGCTGCACTCTGGAAGCTGGGAAACTCGTTCACTTGGGTGTGGGTCATTAATAGGTATCCAAAATGGAGCCCTGGAAAATGGAAACAAGGACTAAAGCCTGTGGGCCGCTGGTGGCTTAATATTTGGCCCATACCCACTTGAGGCGACTTGAGGTCTGCTTTTGCAAGCGCCAAAAGTACAGCTTGGTTCTAACCCGCCCCCCTGCCTGCCCCGTGGGGCATTCATCACAGCGAGGGCCTTCTCACGCTCATGGGGAACTGTTGGCATGAACCGCCGCACCTAGCGGACGCGACTTACCTATCCCTTGCTTGGTGTGACGGAGACATGTCTGCTGATCTGATGTGAGGGCTGCCACGGCTGTACGGATCCCTCTCCCCTGATTTCTGAGCCACAACTTGGGCTGCGTGCAGAATTCTCAGGTTGATCCCCAGTCTCAGCATTCGGCCCCTGGCAACATCAAGCGCTTAACTTGGGCCTGGTTTTTTGCTAGGGTTGGCAACATCCCCAGCATCACCAGCATCACTTGGCCCTGGGGTTGCCTATTGGCTCTGATTGAGTGGCAGTTTGGAGTTGCTGGGGTCTGGTTTAGGTTAGGGGGGCTTTTGCTGGCTTAGATTTTCATGAGGGCGGGTCTTGCGGTGGTTTGGGGTTGATTTAGGCGAAGCGAAGTCCAAACTGCCACCCAATCAGAGCCAATAGGCGGCCCCAGGGCTAGTGAGGCTGGTGATGCCGGGGGTGCGGCCAACCAGAAACAAACCAACCAACCAACCAACCAACCAACCAGCCAGCCAGCCAGCCAGCCAGCCAGCCAGCAGCCAGCCAGCCAGCCATCCAGCCAGCCAGCCAGCCAGCCAGCCAGCCAGCCAGCCACCCAACCAACCAACCAACCAGGGGACCATCCCTAGTAAAAAAACCAGCCCTAGGAAAAAAAACAACACCGGATCCGCCGCAGAGTGGATGGACAACAAAAACGCCAGGCACCAGTAGGTGGTTTGACCCCAGTCCTCATGCTTGTTTATTAGGGGACCCCACAACTTGTAGTATTCCCTTTGGTTTTCCTCAAAACCAACCCCGAAAAGGGTACCCTCGAACAAGACGCCGTGTTTATAGGGTTCATCCATCTCCAAGTGGCTGTCCTTCCCAAGTGGAAGGCATGGAGACAACCCCCGAGCCTTCTTCAAATCCTTTGCCAGGTCTGCCACCTCGCCGGTACCTCAAAGGCAAACCCTCCAGGAATTTCATCAAGTGACATTGTTTTGTTTGTTTTGAGGGCACCCTTTTTGGGTGTTTAAAAGGAAATTGGAGGGAAACCACAATTTCTGTCGCATTTTGCAACAAACCCACTTGTGATAAGTAGAAACCCAGAGGTTGCTCTCATGTTGAACCTGAGCAGGGTTTCCAGCTTTTGGAGGGAAACTGAGGGAGTCCCTGTCTCAAATTGACCACAAACAGATCAAGATCTATTGATCCAATCTCACATAGGATCTCAAATGGACCCTCTCATGAGAGGTTCCTTCTGGTTGAGTCAGACCTGTTGAGAATTGTTGGCACTCCGACCATGAGTGTGGGTCAACTCAGGGCCTGGCTATTGCCGACAGGCAAGCGCTCCGGGGCCTTGAAGAAAAAAAGGGGCCGGTGGGTCTTTTGGGTGAGAGAGAAAACCGAGCTCGGTTCCTTTTGGTGTCCAAATTTCACCCTTCCAGCGGTGAGATGGAAGACCATCCGTAGGCGGTTCCTTTTAGTGTCACACGTCATCCCAAAAATGGGCGCCTGGACGGCTCACAACGCCTGCACGAAGCTCAACCGGACTCTCCCGGCCTCCACAGCTTCGGGCCTCTTGCCCTTGGCACGCGGGGAGGAGAGCGCCTCCCGTTCTACTTCGTGGGGCTCAAAGTCGTCCCGCAGCACCTGGCGCGGCGAACTCAATTCGGGTTGCTGCTGTTTTCAAGGGAACCCTGTTCGCCACAATTTTGTGATGGCCCCCCCTTTGACACATACCCATCTCTTGCACAAGTTGTATTTCAATTAGGGGACATCTTTTACTTGGGGATTTCGATTCACTGGCCACTTTGAGGGTGTTCTCCTCAACAAAAACACTAAATGTCATAGCTTGGATGAGCATTTCGCGATGGAAAAAGACCTTTGCCCCTTCAATCCAATATGTTCAGCTCAGGCCGTTAGACCTGATTCCTACGGGAGGGAAACCTGCAAGAGGAAAGGGCAAACATCTAAAGCTTGGAACCACAGACGAGTAGAGAGGTTTTGCCCCGCCTGAATGCCGTCCAGCTCGGTGGGCAGGTAGCAGCAACTTGGCGCGGGCGGGTGTGAAGTTGATCAGGTTTGTCTCAAGGAAGCCACCAGCGAACAGTATAGTCAACATACGGTGATAATCATAGCAAGTAAGGGAACAAGGCAACCCTCTAATTTACCGTCAATTTATCATGGCTTGTGTTTGAGTATGATTTGTTTACTTGCAATCCGCCGTAATTAGTTGGAAAGGCCGTCTGAACCAGCAATCTTCCCCGCCCCGGGCTGGGGCACAGGCTGGCCCACCTTCACCCACTTGCCCCTTTTTCGGCCCACGACCACCTGAAGCATTCCAAGCCACGTTTGCCTTGAGCAAAGCCAGAAACTCGAAAAGCAGCCAAAAGGAAGTCAAGCACCAGACGGGCCGGGCATCCAAGGTTGCAATTGTTCAAGTCTCGCCTGGCCCCAAAGCGCCGTCTTGCCAGGATCCGCCTCGGACGAATGCTCAGCTGGCTTCCGCGCAACCCGTGAGGGGCACGCTCAGTTGACCTGTTTTGTTGCATTCCCAGTTCTGCTCCCAGTTCCCAGTTCCCAGTTTCAGCTATCAAAACCATGTCGCCAGTTCCACTGGGCGACATGGTTTTGATCGCAAGAGGCTCCCGAAAGGCTGAGGGCCGCTCATCATCATAGCGCCGGGAGAAGAAGTAGCTTAGGCCTCAAAACCACAGTCCATGCGTGCAATCCAAAGAACATGCCTCACAAAGCTGTCCTTCAAACACGAACGCTTTCCTTCCGTTTTTCGACAGCTTGCCTCGTTTGAATGTGTACCTTGAGCCTTCTAAGCTCTGGACCAGTCGTCTGTGCCTGAGGCTGATAACCCTCCGGAAAGGTCACGTTCGTGGTGGGCGCTGTCGAGTAACTTCTTGCCCCCCACGGCATTCCCTCTACGAGTGTCGCAGTACGTGAATGATATCGGGGAACATGTGCGTTTCTATCCCCCCGGACACTCATCCAGGCTCCATGGACTACCAACCCGATTGACACGGAGACATCCCTTTTGGCGCTGGGGAGAGCTCAGGAATTTGTAATCAGATTCTCGAGCAAAATGGTTGTAGTTCTTGAGCCCCGCACACCAAAGTGGGCATTCTTCGACACCAAAGTGGGTTGCGAGGGAAGATGAGAAATCAGAAAATACAAGCATGGAAAGGAGATACTGGGGAATTAAGAGCTAATCCGTGAGTGTCCAGTGCTTCTTGCCAAGATTCTCTTGGCAGTCGATGGCGAACAACTATTGGTGAAATACGGCTATCTGCACAAATCCTGGACTTGTTCATATAATTGTGAGATCATTCTTGTCAAGGCAGAAAATATGGAGAGAGAGGACCCATACACTTATTATCCTTCATCCTTTCCTCTCCCCAACCCATGACTATATTTTCAATACAGAAAGTGGTCCTATGCCCTAACCCTCAATGCATTGAGAAAAGACATGGGCCCAACTCTAGCTTTCCTTTAAAAAAGCGGAAACCATCTGGGTTTGCCTTTGTTTGAGGGTCCCCCTTGTTTGGTGGTTTTGAAGGGAAACCAACAGGACAACCCACCACATACACATATATATATATATATATGTATATATACATACAACACTATATTGCGATGTTCTTATTAGTATTCCGTGTATATATATATATATACACACACCACCACCATACATATATACATATATATATATATATATTTATGGTCCCCCCCCCCCAAGATCCCGCAAAAAAACACTGGAAAACACAGGTACAATGCGTGTTTTTGACCACCTGTTCCAGGATCAGATTCTGATCCTGGAAATGGTAGTCAAAAACAAGCATCATTCTTGATGATCAAATCAGGAAAAGATCATGTTTGATGAGCAGTGCAGAAAGTGACAATTCTTGATTTGCAGATGTTGGGCAACTTGAAGCAAATGCTTGCAGATGGTTTGTGTGGACAGCCTTCTCGCATGCAGAAAGTGCCGTACTGTCCCTAAAATCCAGGCTTTGGAGGCTGAACAAGTGCTGTACTGTCCCCAACAAACCTGAAAGTGCTGTACTTACTGTCCCTAAAACCCAGGCTTTCCAGGCTGAAAGCGCTGTACTCTCCCTAAAAAACCTAAAATCCCATGCCAGAAACAGTCTTGGGCACACAAGACTCATTCTGGCAAGGATTTTTGTTTTTTTGGACAGTAGCGCTTGTTTTAGTTTTTTAGGGACAGTACAGCACTTTCAAAGCCTGGATATTAGGGACAGTACAGCACTTTCTGCATGCTCGTGCTCAAAAGTGCTGTGCTGTCCCTAAATTTGTGGTCTTGGGAAAGCAATAGCAGATGTCTGTCACTCCGACGAACTGGCTTGCTTTGCTTCCTTCGCCTAGAATTTGATTTGGCCTTACATGTGGCATGAGACTGATGTACTAATGAAGGTTAGAAGTCTTATTTTGAATCAGGTTTTAAATGGAAATTCATGTCAGGCCTTTCTCGAGTACACATTTTACCACTATATCAAAGCCATCAATTAGAATTTGGTTTGGCCTTAACTGAAACCCATTGCATCATATGTTGCATGAAACTGATGTACCAATGAAGGATGAGCACATATATATATATATGTATATATATACATATATATCTGTTGTCTCTGTTGTTTTTTTCCCTTTGGGGGGCGTTCCCCCAAACAAGAAAAGAACCAACTCGACGCCTCCAATCTGGAGCCAGCCAGGCGCCTTGAGGCGGCCGTTGTCCACCAGGAACTCCCGGGGCTCCGCGAAGGTGGCCTTGCGCCAGAGCTGGGTGGCCAGCAGCATCAGCACCTGGCCCGCGGCGTTTGTTTTTTTGGGGTATATATATAATATATATATATATATATATAAACAAGTTTACTATTATTTTTGCTGTTGTTATTGTTATTATCATTATTATTATTATTATCATTATTATTATTATTATTATTATTATTACTATTATTATTATTATTATTTATTATTATTATTATTATTATTATTATTATTATTATTATTATTATCATCATCATCATCATTATCATTATCATGATCATTATCATTATCATTATTATTATTATTATTATTATTATTATTATTATTATTACTATTATTATTATTATTGTTATTGTTATTATTATTATTATTGTTGTTATTAATGTGTTGTTTCCCCATTTGTTTCTCCATTACTATTATTTTTGGGGGGGAAGTCGCCGCATCTTTTGTAGAATCAGCTTTGGATCCTGGCTACATGTTGCCGCTGCCGTTTTGAGGAATGTGGCCGTTCATCAACCAACAGCTGTACATGCCTCGCTTTTGCATCATTTTGTCAGTCTTCCTTCAGATTTGGGGTATGGGAGACCACAAATTCTTGGGGGAACTTGCTCCATTATTTCCAGAAATCCAAGAAAAACCTGAGGGGACATGGGTGGTCTTTTTGGATTTGGGTATGGGTCAAAATTAAACCACCAGGAATTGGACCGCAGGTCTTAGTCCTTGTTTCCATTTGCCAGGCTTCCATTTTGACCAACAAATTTCTGAATTTCCTGTTGAAAAGTGGGTGCCCTCAAAAGATGCACACTCACGTAGGTGATATTTGCCTATCTTCTCCTCCAATTGCAGCAAATATCTTCCACATGGAGCCTATACAGGTGGCTATAGGTAAAGGATTGGGATCTTTAAAGAATGCCCTTGGAGACAAGGGTTGAAGCCTCTACTCAACTAGTCAGTGGCTGATCTTCATTGAGTTCCTTGGTGGGGTGACCTGCAAAGGGCAAAACCGGGAATGGTGTTGGAACCGAACGGATGTTGCCCTGCCGCCATGAATTACTTGCCAGAGTTCCATAGGCTTGAGGTGTTGAACTAAGATTCGCATTTGACCCCATGGCAAGGAAGCCCCGAGCGACAAGGGGGAAGCCTTGGAAAGCTGCCCCCAACCGGAGGTGATCATGGCTCAAGCGAATGTGCCCTCACGTTGCAATTCCTTTGGGGGCGATTGATATGAGAGCCAAACGGCACGGGGTCATTCAACTTGGGAGAGCCCGCAGTGGAGCGCCCGCTCGTCTGAGGCACCCAGTGGAGCACCGCGCTGTCCTCATTGCCCAGGAAGAGCATGGGCCTCGCTCCGCATTGCCGTCTGTCAAAACAGGATGGGGGACTGGCAAAATATCCGGGTTTGCAGCTGCCCTTGGCTGCTCTTGGTCCACAAATGCCACAAATCTACATCCCAAATGGGGTTCAAGGGCAATTTAGCGTCGGGCACCAGGGAGGAAGCCGCTACGCCGGGATACTTGTGCCTGGCGTCCAGTGAACGACTCCGGCAGCACATCGGGCTCTGAAAACGGCAAACCCAAGCTGCAGGAATGCGTTTTCATGGTGCCTCTGACCAATGCAAGACCTTCCAACCGACTGCAATGGGTGCATCTCAATCCACAAAGGGCAAGCCACACACCGAAGAACCTGCGCCACTTTGTCTCACGCCAGCTTTTGCCCACAGTCAAGAAGCACTGGTCTACATTTAGTGAGCAGCGAGCCTTACAATGTAACTTCAGAAGAAACCCCAGTGACAACGACATCAACACCGACATCCCGGATCCATCCAAGAAAAATCCTTGAAGCTCGCCGGCAGTACGACCAGCACCAGTGCGCCGTTTGCAGCGCCTGGGGCTTCAGCCAAGAGAAGCCATTTCGAAGGGACCCCATTCTTTCACCAATCAAAACCCACCCTTTGGTGAACTGCTGGCTTTCGGAACGGACAACATTTTTTGAACAGAATGGAGAATCCACCAACCATAAAAGGAAGCCTGTGCTGACTACCTCACTGAACATGCGCGCGAAGCTAAGACAAATGGAGCCCCGTTTCATTGTCTACAGGGTTCTCGAAACACTCTCCACTGCAGCTCTTGGCGTGAAATGCGCTATCAACCCGCCTTCTGGGTACATCTCTCTTTTGGGAAGAGGATGAAACGCTAAACCCTTTGCGAACCTTTACCCAAGGCCTAGGCAAAAAGGAGTACGACCCGAGAGTCAAGAAGCTCACTGGCGCCCGTTCCAGCCTGGCTCAATGGTACCTCCGACAAGGAATCCTGGCGAGTGACATCCAGCAGCTTCCTAAAATAGTAGTGCCACCCCGAAATAACGCTTGCTTCTCTTCCAGCTAAAAACCAGCCGAACTTGGGTGTCTATTTTTAGGAAACACGTTTGCATGAAAGGCAATGCTCCATGTCGTATGCAACTTCTTGTTATTCGTTTGACACTGTCTGCCGCGACACCGTCTGACATGACACAAGCTACATGATAAGCATGAAACCATAGTGCGTCCATTTGATTCCTTCCAAAAGGCCCGCCAACCGCATTGCAACTCGCCGACCCAGTTCACTGACCGTCTGTCCCGGACAAGCACTGTTTTCATCAGCAAACTGTTTGACCATGTCATCCCATTTTCTGGTAGTTCAGCTCCATTGCATGTAGAAACACCCAGAACTTCCCCCCCCCGGCATCCCATCCACCTCCGTCTCGGCAGTCGTCACAGCTTTGGCCTCACAGACGCAAAAGGCCGCAGGAGGGGCGGATGGGCGGAGCCGGGACCTTTCTCGCGATTTCAAAGGGAAATTTGGTCGCGGCCTCCCTCGGGATTTCAAAGGGACATTTGAAAAGGAAACCTTCGGACGCCAAACGTTTGGCGTGCGATGACACTCCACACCCCGATTCTCGAGGATCCGGCTGCCAGGCGGATCCTATCGAAAACGGGCGGACATGGCCGGACAAAGCATGGAGCGTTGCTTTCTCAGGAAATCACAAATTACCAGTTTATTACAAAAAAAAACAATAAAATAAACAAGGATGGACATGATGGACCAAGGAGAACAGCAGAACCAAAAAAAAACATCTCCTGGCAAGTATTCGATGGACCAAGGGTGATTCCGGATTTCGCCGTGGCCAGCCACCGGCAAGTCTTCGGTCCTCTGGCCCTGCTTCAATTCAGCGTGCATGGCGATCCAGGGCCACAAGTGGCGCGGCATCTGCCTGACGCGTGGGACCTCGGACCTCGGACCTGTTTCAACCATCCCGGGCGGAAGCTCATAAGATCCCGGGGGCTCAGGAAAACATGGAGGTAAACATGGAGGTACAGGTGGAATTTTGGTGGTCGAAATCCCTTCCCCAATTCCTCTTGTTTTTCTTGGCGGGGATGTTCAACTGCCCCCGACCTGCTCAGAGACAGGAAAAGAGGAGTTGTTTGTATCACAGGGCTGCTTGTTTTGAAGGGCGCCAAGCTGGAACAGCATGGTTCGCTTCGGGCCTACGAGCCTGCGCACATGCAACCAGCCCCTCATGGGGAGTGGAAGGCTCGAAGCGACCAGTCCCTTGTCCTACTCAAATTGACCTGCGCTCCCTATGCCCCACTTGCGTGTGCGATGATTGAGTCCTAAGGCTCAGAAAAGACATGTCTCATGGCCACCTGATGGCCACTCTACCCTCAGCACCAGCCAATTCCAAGCAATGTCTTCAATTCCATTGATGCCCAGGTGTCGTATGGGTCTGTCTGAAAATAGAAAGATGAAAGGGAAATCAAAAATAATCTAACCTTCTCGGGAGGCGCAACGGGAAACACCAAAAAAACATTCAACCCACCCACAAGCATCTTGCCCCCAAGGGCCCCGGCCAGGCATCCTCGAAGCTGACCTGCGCAAGTGGCCAATCCCAGACCTCAAACCAAAGTGATCCAAACTCGGCACAGAGGTCCTGCAAATGCAAACTACGGCTGAACTGAACCTCTTCAAAGGACCTTGGAAGTTTTCATGCCCCAAAAAACACCTCGAGTTGCACGCGTTCCCGCCTCCGCCAAAGGAGGCCGTGAGCTGGGCAGCGGCCGCTGCGCCAGCGGCAGCGCTGACACCGACATCCCCGTCTTTGGCGGCGCCTGGTGCTCGAGCGGCGCGCGCCACGAACGCGCGCGACAGATTTCCTCTGGAAGATTTGAGTCTGCCCCTTGGTGTGGGTTCTGGACATAGGTGTTGATTTGATGATTTCAGTTGCAAACCAAATCAATAATTGGCACTTGCTCGGAACACGTTGACATGTCTCTGACTCGTTGCGGGTGGACTCCTGGCCACCGAAGCATGCCCTTCGGCCGCCTGCGGCAAAGAAGCCGTCTCCTGCTCTTCAACCTCCTCCTGTCGAGTCCAAGGCAAACATGGATGCTCTTTGCGACCCATGAGCTTCTGAAGCAAGGAGTCGCCATTGCTCTGTGAAGGAAAGGTCTGCGCGCTTTGTCCCTGGACTACTAGTATGCATAACCCCGCAACCCTCAGACCCTCAGCCCCCTCCCCACCCGATATCTGACGACTGTGCAACACTATGGGTGGGGGGTCTCCAAGCGCGGAAGCCGAGGCAGTCCTCTTTTAAATACCTCAGGCCGCGCGATACCCAACACTCACTCCGATTTCCTGTCCGAATCAAAGCGGAAATTGATGAACCGAGCCTTGAAGCTGCTGTCTTTGTGTGTGTGTGTGTTTGATTGTGTGCGTGCGTTCTTTGTGCATTTGACAAATGGAGTCTGATGATTGCTTTCATCTTTGCATTCAGCGTGGCTGTGTGGGAACGTGCACATTACATTGCTCAGCACGTGTGCAGCATGTGAGAAGGCCGAAAAGCAATCTTACTTATCCCTGCCTTTTTCCACTGCTACACAAACGAGGGACAGTCTCTATCGGCCAACAGAAACTGTGATCCCGGCATTTGACTGTCTTCCCCCCTCCCTCTCTCTCCGTCTCCCTCTCTCTCCCTCTCTTGCGCTATCTTTCCCTCTCACCCTCCCCTCTCCCACTCTCCCCTCTTGCAACATGGCCAGCGAGGCAAAGCACCTTTTGCAGCCAAAGGCGCCACCATGACAGGCCGAAGGCTCCAGGACCTTTCAACATTGAGGGAACTTCTCATCACTGGGCCCTCAAATCCCCTGTTTTAAATGGGAACCCCTAAAAGCTAAAAGCCTCAAACCTAATTGGACGGCTGGGAACTGCCAAGATGATACCTCCCTTAAATGCTTGGCGGGCATTGCTTTCGCAGCATCGCGACTCCCCCCCCCCCCCCCACACATTGCCAGCCAACATCTGCGCGCCCATCCGTACTCCCATGCCCCCGACTCAGGTTCAGACCCAGGTGGTGTGGCCCGGGAGAGTGGCTTAGGTCCTGCAAGCGAACCCCCCCCCCACTGCACCGATCTGATCTCAGAGCTTTGAGCATGTGGATGGCGTTTGCAATGCCGGTCAAGATTCCAGACTCGAGACCCGGAGGAATAACGAGTGTTGCAAAGCAATCCACAGAAATCGTCGATTCCAGCCTTGCTCTTGCCCGACTGCATATGCGGCTCCTGCAGTTAAAGGAGGCGGCACAAGGGGAACTGTTGGAGACATCTTCAATTTTTTGAGGGAGTCGAACATGGTTAAGCACGTGGGTGAGTTTGTTGAATGCCAACAGCTCCTGCTCAAGCGCATACGTGGCTGACGCTCCGGTGTGCGGCTCCGCCGCTTCCCTGGGAGCAGTGAGAGACGCCGGCCGATTCACAGCTGCAACCGCATTTGGAGGGGCAGACTCCTTTCGATTTGTTGAGGCGATCACCCCGATACTTCCCGGAGGGTTGCTGCGTGCTCCTTTCAAAGTAACTATCTTGCTAGGCGGCCGGTTCTTGCTGGCGAAGATGGACAGAATCAGACTGGCCTGCAGAGAATACGAAGCACACTTGCACGTGTTGCAGCTAATGATATACTGCTCCGTCCTTGGGGTTGTCCGCGTCTTCAGCCGCATCTATCTCTTCCTGCCGTTCAGCTCCGGTGGCATGCGCAAGCAATCAAGCAGCACACGTAACGTAGTCTGACATCGCACACAGTCCTTTCGCCTCCCAAGTCCTCATCTTGGGGCCTTTACACTCTCCAGCAACTGTGTTGTTGCATCATGCATATGGTGGCACAGAGGCAAACACTCACCCACGCTCGTTGCCCTTCTGAGATACCAAAGTTGGCCATCACTACCACTCAATAGTATGACAGCTCAATTCCAACAAGCATACGTTCCAAAGCACTAGTCATGCATTGCAGCTACAGAACGCACCGAAATCGGGCCTCAAAGACCTGAGCTCAAGTCTCGGTTGCGCGAGCGACTAAAAGCTTGACCCATATCTTCCATGGGTTCGGTTCAATCTTGGGGGCACAATCAAAGTCACAGTGGTGTGTCGGCTTTTTGTACTTCCCGCTTCAAACTGAGCTTGAACCCTGCCATGCTCTGAACCAGACTGGCATGCTCACCGCCCCCTAGGACTGTATGCCCAGATTTGCCTCAAATTTATGATAATCTGCACATTGCGCGAATCAGCAGGGTCCACCATAAAATGCATTACCACCCCCATCAAAAAGGCAAGATTTAGAAGGGTTCATTGGGAATACAGATTCAGGCACCACCCGTTCGGTAGCTTTACCGAAACTAAGAGCAAAGCTTGTGTTGAGGGTGCAGGACATTTCCCATGTCCAGCCACAGCCATGTTGCGGTGCCGACAGAAAGGGGGTCACACCTACCTGGACCCTCGAGGCCTTCCAACTTGTGGGGCAACATCAATCCAGAGTGAATAGCAGTCTTTCACTATAGTACCGACAAAACAGACCCCAGACTCACCTGCTGAGGGGGGGGGGAGCCCCGGCATCAATCCATTTCAGGGAGGTCCTTCCCCCTTTTCAAGTTCCGGTCCTGTGAGATGCCCATCTCCCCGAGCGCGTGCTGCTTCAGCTCGCTGAGCCGCATCTCCAGCAGCGCGTCCTTGGCGTCCCGCGCCACGTCCTCGGCGAGAGCTGCAAGTTTCAAGCGAAGCCTGGAGCGTCCTCGTTACCAACAAGATATGCCCTGATCGAGCCCCAAGGTAAAGTACAAAACCCAGGGTCGTCGCCAACATATTGAAAACGTTCACGTCTACATGCTCCGAATGTTTTGCTCAAGGCCGAACTGATCGACGATCGGTCGCTGAAAGGGCAAAACGAGAGCACATCCACAAACGAGCGCACATGCTAAAAATGTAGTAGTTGCTCGCCTTCCTCCGAACAGATTGAAAAACAAAACACCCTGTTCAAGGGCCACGCCCTTTTTAAAGCATCGAGCAAAAAAAAGCATGGCTCGAACCCAAATTTTACGTAACACAAATGTGTGTCAAAAGAAGGGGGCTCCAGGAAGAAGTCCGGGTCCATGCTACAGAAAGTGGGTGCCGCCCATTTCGTGGAAATCTCACCCAGTTCAACGAGTTCTCCGGCAGACAAACCAGTGACGGGGAGCAAAGGCCCAGCTCATACGCGTCCATGGGGTTACACCAGGGGAAAGAGCTGGGCAATCCATCAGGCTTCCATCTGCAGTTGAGCCATCCGACCCGGTTTCTCTCAAAGTCAAATTCTCAGCCACACCTTGTGTCATGCAATGGGAACCTTCGGCCTGGCGCACACTGAAGGGCCCAGGTCAGACCCCCTTTGATAGAACCCGTTTGCAGACACCCGGTTTTTCAGCCAGGCCAATTCCGAGAGGCCAAGATCAGCTGGGCCAAGGCCAGCTTTGGACTCTCCTCGTCCAGGGCCTCCTCAATCCTCGCATGGAAAGAAGGCCGGAGTTCTAACCTTTCTGGGACCCAGGAATCATGTTCCGCCCTACAAACGGGTCCAAAAGAGGCGGACTATCGCTAATTCCATTCCATGAAGCGCAACTTGGATCCTGAAAGTGCTGAAAGTGGTTGCGATTGGCTGCCAAGCCTTTTGCTAAGCTACCTGGATGTTCAGCCAAGTTAGCCACTTGGCTTTTAAACCCCCTAACAACAAGCTTAATCCCATGTCGGGGAACTTGTAAGTGGGTTATAACCGAACAGTTACCAACAACTTACGAACACTGGAAAGTATGCGGGTCCAACTTTCCGGGTTGCAACCATCGGCGTGATACCTGGGCTCTCGGGATCCTATGCTCCGAGGACAGCATGAAACTCGGGGAACCCATTCGGAGAAATGGGCTCCTTTCACACATGGGGGGGGTGCGGAAATTGGGGACACCCTTGTGGTGTTGGAAGTCAAGAACACCTCGTCAGTTTTGAGGGGAGCCCGATTTTTGGACATACTCACATTGTACCATACGGGCATCTGTCAAAATAGCGAGACCTGCAAAAAGAGTAGTTGCTCATGGGCCTATGGTTCCCCTTCAAACCAAAACACAAAGCACCTGGAATCACATTGGACGCATGTGCCATTCGGTACCATACCCCAGACGTACAAAGGCAACCGACTGACCCCTTCAAACGGCACCGCCTTTGCCAGGGCTCGTCTCTTCCGTGCAGCCATAGGCCGCCGCGCGCTGCTTCAGCTCTGCCACCCTCATGCCCACCAGCTCCACCTGCGTCCGAGCGTCAGCCGGACATTTCGTGGCGGTTCGGTGGCTTCTCGGGTCCCATCCACAGCTAGGTAAGGGTTCCTACTCTTGGTTTTACATGGTGGTTTCTCCATAACTGCCCTTACAGAATAGTCACATTGAGCAGACATGCAACTCAACTTCAAATCGGTCGAGTTTTTGAACTTCATGCGTTCAGAGCGCTCACCTACCCAGGGACACAGCATGACACAGGTTCTGCATGCCCAAACCTTGAGACCCACATAGGGACTGAATTGGGTTGGTCAACAGGCAAGTCACGGCCAAAAGCCGCTTGCATCGGTGCGACTTGGAGCCGGGACCTGCCTTCATGCGCATCAGCGCCTTGTCCAGCTCCGACATCTTCTCGACCTCCGGGATGTCTGCCGACAGAGATGACAGATCGTTGAAGGAGAAGACATCGCCTGAAGTGTCAAATCGGAGCCAAGGTTCATGTCGGAAACAGAGACTCAACCAGCTCAACCAAGCAAATATTCACATTCTCCATGTATACAGGCATTACAAACTTATACACATAATGTTATATGTATATAGCTATGTGTGTTTGGCGCTCAACCCAGTGGGAAATGTGGCTGAATTCCTAGAAAAAATCAGCAAACCCCATAAAACATAAATTCACGCGTAGTGGATGTGGTACAAATCAAGTCATGGGAATATTATGGCGCTAAGTTGGAAACCCACAGACAAACTGGGCGCAAGAAGCATCTTCTTTCCCAAGTACAAATAGAAAGTGAAGCACTAGCGTTGTCTCAAAATGGAAAACCCCCGGGAAAATGGTTGGATACCTGTGTGCTTTCCCCGCACTGTCAAAAGGATTTCCCTCAGTTTTAGGCATCCGTTTGCAAGGGGCCCAAGTTTCCTTCCAGCTTCAATCGAGGATGCCAAAGTGCTTCGTAAAGGATGCCCATTGGCCTTGTCACATGGAGTGGTAACACCTTGCAACTTGGGGTTCGTCACCTCAATCCAGAGGAGATGCCCTTGAACACCAACAAAACGGAGTTCCCTCAGAAAAGACACACCCATGTGGCAAAGTGCAGAGCTTGCCGACCCAGAGTTCCCTTACATTGAAAACAGGCCAACGCTCAAATTTGGATCGGGCCTTCCAAAACGCGTTCAAATGTCTTAAACAAGTCAGCTATCAGAAACAGTTTTACGAAGCCTCTACTTCTTGCGGACCCTCACAAACAAGGCACTCCCATGTTAGTAAAGGCCCCGAAGGGACACCCCACCCGTCCTCCTTGGGGGTAACGCACAGGGCTGGCAGCGGAGTGGTTGAACGGCATGCGCAGAAAGAGGAGCTTTGCAAGCGCCTTGATCCGACGATCACGTTCAGTGATGTGGTTTGGTGGGAACTTACAGGTTTGATTATTTGGTTTGGT